TAGGCGGCGGCGGCTCCTGCGGGCGGCCGCCCCGCACCCTATGGACCGGCCGCTCCATGGAGTCCTCCAGATCGCTTCTCGGCTGCCTGGCGAGCGCCGCTGCCGCCCCGCCGGGGGAGGATGCCACGGGCACAGGGGCCGAGGAGGAGGAGGACGAGGAGGAGGCGGTGGCCGCCGACCTGGGCTCCCACGCCGCGCTGCCCTACTGGACGGCTGTATTCGAGTACGAGGCGGCGGGCGAGGACGAGCTGACCCTGCGGCTGGGCGATGTGGTAGAGGTGCTGTCCAAGGACTCGCAGGTGTCCGGCGACGAGGGCTGGTGGACCGGACAGCTGAACCAGCGGGTGGGCATCTTCCCCAGCAACTACGTGACCCCGCGCAGCGCCTTCTCCAGCCGCTGCCAGCCGGGCGCCGAGGACCCCAGCTGCTACCCGCCCATTCAGCGTAAGGAGAAGGCGGCACCGAAGCCCGGTGGGGAGGGGAGGGGAGGGTGAGGCCTGGGGTGGGCGAGGAGAGGTCAGGGGTGGGGAGTGATTGGCCGGGGTGTGCGAGCTGCAGGGGCTTTAGCTGGTGCCACCGAGCAGCTCCAGAGCCGCAGGCCCTGCCTGGAACGCTGGGCTTCTTCACCTCCACCTGACTTGCTCAAACAGCAACTCCTGAAGCCCCCAGCACGAGACTCCCATCCCCTCCCTCCTTGTGCCCCTCCAGATCAGCAAGGGTTTCTGGAGAGCAGGCGGTTACTGTCACCAGTAACCTTAGTCCCCCACCCAAGGACCTGGCGGACCTCTTCTGTCGCTTGTCCCCGCCTCTTAAAGGTATTTGTCCTGAGAGAAGTGGAGGTGTCTCTCGCCTGCCTGGGCAGGCTCACAAGTCCCGGAAGCATGTGTGAACGAACTCAAGAGTCAGGTGCCTTGGAAATCTCGTGTTGGTTTCTTGGGTTCTCGTCCTGTATCTCAAAGTTGTACCTTGAGGAGTCTCACCAAATAATATGTTAGGAAAGGTGTGTATGTGTGGGGGAAGGGCGCAAAATCCTGAGTGGAGAAATAATTAGAGAAAGTACGTCTTTCCCTCGTGGGAGTTCAGGATCACCAGGTACAGTGGCTAAGTCCTTGTCCCTTACAGCCATATCGTTCAGACAACACATATTTTTTTCACCCATAATCCTTGCCTATATTTGGCATTGGCCAAATCTCGGAGGGTGTGGGGGCCCGCAGGCCCAGGGTTCCCTTCCAGGGCCTTTCTCCCTGTGTCCTGGTTTTCATCAGGTTCCCAAGAACCCCCTGTTCCATGCCCCTAACGAAATTTTCTTTGCTGTTTTTCAGAGGAGTTAAGTTGCCATTATAATCCCATAATCACTTGGTTATTTTAGAAGATGTGAATTTCTCTAAGTGTAGCTTATAGTATTTAAAAGTTTCCATAATTCCAGTTAGAAGACATTCTTACTACATACTTGGTAGTTAGTTCCTTGTTTTATGTACTTTGCACCCTACTTTTTAAGTCACTGCAAAGGGCTAACTTTGATACTTAGTATTACATTTTCATCTGCAACAGTTATCTTTCTGTTACTTATTTTTACACGAACAATTACATTACTTTAAGATGAGGTTTTTTTTTTTTTTTTTTTAAAGATTTATTTATTTATTATGTATACAGAAGAGGGTGCCAGATCTCATTACAGATGGTTGTGAGCCACCATGTGGTTGCTGGGAATTGAACTCAGGACCTCTGGAAGAGCAGTCGGTGCTCTTAACCTCTAAGCCATCTCTCCAGCCCCAAGATGAGTTTTAAATACAATTGCAACTTCTTTTTTTCTTCTTTTCCTTCTGGTCCTTTGACTGTCAAATTGCTCAGATCGCTAGTTCTTCTTAGATCTGTTCCCCTTTCATCCGAAGTTTCTTGTTTATACATTTTGATACGTATAATGCCCGGAAGTGGCAAGTCACTTTAGATTGTTTCTGGGTGCTACATATTTTTGGCATATTAGGCAACGCTGGCGGAGACATAGGCCAATCAAAGGTCCAGGCATGGTGTTTGGAATTATTGGTGTTGGAGATGAGCTTGGTTGATGAACTTACGTTGAATGAGGTTTTGAAGCCCGTTGTGGGTGGAGTTCTGTGATGTTTTTAGGGACAGCTAACGTGACAGTGTACAAGTTATGTCAAGTTCACAAGCAGCCTCTCAGTTCCCTCAGCATCTTGTGCTCCTGGCTGTCAGAGCAGTCAGGAGTGAACATGACTTAGGTTAAAAGAACCTTTCTGCTGAGTGCCAGACATGCCAGCAGTATGCTGCCTTGGGAGACGAGTCTCTGTAATGTGACCAGGACTCACCTTATTGGAATAGACGGTACCTTGGATGGAGTGGATTCCTAAGCCTGGAACCCAGATGGGAGGACCTTGTACTTGGGGAAGGAATTCACTTGAGGAGCTTGGCATTGAAATTTCTGGTAAGTGCTTGGCCTTACTTGGGACCGCATTATTCTCGATAGTTCACAAAGCTCCAGTCAGAAGCTCATTCTTGAGTACCTGGTGAGTGGTGGCTGCTGTGTTAAGAACCAAGGGATAAAAGGATGGTAGGAGATGCTTCTGAACACAACAGGGAGACTGGTGAAGTAAAGACGAAATTTTAGTCAGTGCTTTGAAAAGATAGGAATGTCAACTGGGAGAGAGCTCTGTCCACCAGTTGAGTTAGTGTCACTCAGAAGATAAAGATGGTTGACAAAACCTTGTCGTTCCTCACCCCCCCCCCCCAGGATCTGGAATAGTAAAGGCACTGACAATTCTTCCCCAGAGATACCCTTTTAAACTTCCCCTCTGGGACTTACAGCATGTGACATGTTCAGGATTGCGAATGGAATACCTATGTCTAGGCAAGCAGCGAGAGTCAGGTTTAGTTTCACAGTGTGGTTTTCAAGTGAAAATTTTGCTTCAAGCTTTAGTCAATACAGAAGGGGAAATGACTCTTTTATCAAAGGAAAAATACACTAGTGATATTATAAGCCATTTTATATCCTGCTACTGTAGGTACCAGGGGTTGGCTCTCCATGGATGACAAATCAATATAACCTGAGAGATTTCTCATCCTCCGTTTTGTAAAAGGTGAAAAGTTTAAAGCTTCAGTTTGTCACCCTATTAAAAAGTTTCTTCTACGCTAGTGTTAGTCTGTTTGCAACACAGCATTAAGGTCACTATTAAGTTACATTTGTTTTTCCTGAATTCACTACAAATGTAAGAATGTATTTTTAGATATGTTTAAGGTGTGTGTGTGTGTGTGTGTGTGTGTGTGAGCAGATGCATCAGATGCATGTACCCATGCACACATGTACCCATGAATGGAGGATGCTGGGTGTCCTCTAAAGATCTCTGCCTTATTACCTTCAGACGGTCTCTAACTGAACCTGGAGCATTTTCAACTAGCCTCTAGACTGGAGGCTAGAAGTCCTAGCGATCCCCACATCTCTGTCTCCTGCCCTAGTACAGTGTTTTTTTTTTTTTTTTTTCTTCACTTATTTATCTTTCTTTTTGAAACAGGATCTCACTATGTACCCCATACTATCCTTGAACTTATGCTCCTCCTGCATCTATTTCCCGAGTGCTGGGATTAACAGCTGTGTACCACACACCTGGCTCTGTATAGAAGACTTTGAAATGAACAAAGTATACCATTCCCTTGCCCCTAAGCCCACAAGGCGGGCTGGTTCAGTCAGCCTCCAAGCATACAATCTGGAGAAATAACATCTTGACTTCAACATGAAATAAGGTTTTGTTGATATTCCTAGAAATAGCCTCCCACAGAAAATTTTTTTAAAAAGTGTGTTGAATGCAAGTTGACCTGATTCTTGCTTAAAACCAGGTCTTGACTGGAGCAGAGAAGGGAAGGCGAGCCCTCATGCCCTCTGCAGCTGAAGGTCTAGTCCCTGGAAGCCTGGCGGAAGGGACTTCTCAGTAGGGGAAGAAAAAGAAAGTCCTTGCTCCCGCTCCAGGTTGTCTTTGTCTATTGGAAAGCTATTTTCTGTACTTTTCTTGCAGGCTGACTTCCTTATGTTTCTTAACTCAGTAGGGGAAAGCTGAGATCTTAGCTTCTACCCCAGAGAGGTCACTGCTTTCCTTCCCTTCCATGTCATGCCTCTGTCTGCCCCGCTGCCGGAGGAGCTGTCCTTCAGCACCCGAGACCAAAGTCCCATCTTTCTTTACACCCTCAGCTAAACATTGAACACCCACTGTGTGTTGACAAGTGTGCTTCAGAGCTGAGAAACAGAGGGTGCGCATAAGAGAAATAGTATAGTTAATTAATTCAGAGACTTAGTTGAAGAAACAGGGTGATCGATTCAATTCCTTCAAGAGGCATGGAGCTTTTCTGGTAGAAAAATAAAATTCCTTGCCTCCAAAGACCAGGTAGACATGCATCTTTCAAAGAGGTTTCTAATCTCTCTTTACTGTCTGCGTGTTTCCTCATTCGTGTGGATGACATCAGACAAAAGTTAGTAATTAGTCAGGATTCATTTTTAGGACTCAGAAACATTGAAGCTATTTTAGGCAAGAAATGGACTCAGCACAGGAAATTGGGCGCTTACAGAATTGTTGGGAGGGCCTGGAGAAGAGGCCCTGATGGGGGGTGCTCTGGGCACTGCAGAGCTGCACCAGCAAGTTGGCACTGTGCTTCTCACAGATGAGGTTCGGCATCTGGAGCTGCTGTTGGAGACGGCAGCTTCGGGGGTAGCCTCTTGTGTCTGCAGCCTGGAGAACAGGCAGCCGCTTCGCTATGGAACATCCATTTGCACAGCTACAGAGCTAGTGACCGGACACTGGCATGCTGCTGCAGACAGCCATGCTTGCCAGGACAGGCAGCCAAAAAAAACGGTCTCCATCTCTCTTTGTTTTGCAAATCTTGTGTGTCACTTAGTTCACATCCAGTAAGTACCTTTGCCATAAGAGATCCTGGGACTTGTAGTTTCTTAGCTTTCTAGCCTCTGATACTAAAAGGTGAGGTGCTAGAAGGATGTTGGGGTGGGTGCTGATTGCTAGTCTGCAGGTTCTGTCATGTCATTTGTTCTTCAGGGAACCCCCCCCCCCCATACCCCAAAAGACAATAACTTTCCCCTCTCTTCTTTATTTCATGGTACCAGGGACTAACCCCAGGACTGTGCAGATACTAAGCATGTACTTTGCCACTAAGCTGCACTGCATCCCCAAAGGGTTCGTTAGACTTGTGGAACTTTGAGGGTCAAGATGGGCTCTGCTTCTTGTGTACATAGAGACAGTCCACTTGACTTAGTTCCTGAGAGTTTTCCTTGTGCAGATTGACAGTTGCTTTGCAAAATACAAGAAGAGGAGAAGATTAAAAGAATTATGATTAAGTAAGAACAAAAACTTGAGCCCCATCAGTATCCAAATGAGCAATGGGGTGTGATGGGGCTGACCACAGAGGGAAGAACAGTTTGCTCTTGCCAAAATCTAGAAATACGTCTTTGTTTTCCTAGGTTTGTTTGTTTTATTTATTTATTTTGGTAGTGTGTGGTTATTCTCTCTTCCAGAAACCTACCCACCCCCCTCCCACCCCTTTTAAACAGATCTATATTTGTTTGCCCTACCTAGGTAAATTTCTTTGATTGGTCACCCATTAAATATTTGTCACAATGAGCACAGTGGTGGCAGACAGAATCTCTGTCCTGTGGCTGTCGTAGTGTCACAGGTGATAGGCAGTGAATGAGTAATTAAATAGTGATAATCTTGGTGAGTTTTGTGGAATAGTTTTCTGCAAAGGTGTTTGATAGGCGCTTGCCCTCATTTGGTCTTGAGGTTAGAAGAAGTTTCTCTATGGAATGGATGTTGAAGTTCAAATGTGAGGGATGAGTCTGAATTAGTCAAAAGAGAACAGGGTTTTAGGAGAGACACATGAAACAGCACTGTGCTCAGTTAGTTCTTAACATTCTATCTAGCCCAAGATAGATTATCACTGGTAGCTACTGTTACCTTTTCCAAATGGTGCTGAAGGCATAATCAAATACCTTAGGTTCAGATTCTAGATCTTGGAAGCAGGTTCCATGGTTGAGGTGACTGTCAAGGATGGACCTGAGGCACTGAGGTCCACCAGAGTGAAATGTTTCCCATGAGGCTCCTTTCCTGTACCTCTCAGGAACTAAGATCCCGATAGAACCAAGTCTGGAAGTCTTTCACATTGACTCAGTTCTTTCTGTGCTCAGTACCTCTGAGGCTCAGCAGGCCTGGGTCACTGCAAGGGCCTCCCTAATGGTTCTTCCTTTTGAGACCGGGTCTCCTTTTAGACCCAGCTAGCCTCAGACTTGCTACAGAGCTTTGGTTGTCCTTGAACTTGTGATTCTCCTGTCTCTATCTCTTTAGTGTAGGATTATTGGCATGTGCCGCCACCCTGTTTTATGTGGTGCTGTGGATTGAACCCTGAGCTTCATGCATGCCGGGCTCTGCCTGTATCGACTGAGCCGCACCCTGGTCCCTTATGTCCCTGCATGGCTGTCACAGTTGGTATCCTTTCTAAACCACAAAACTCCCTTCCTAAACAGTACATGTTGCTTCTAGAGTAATTTTAAGTCCTTTAGAATTGCTCGGAAGCTTATTACCACCTGGTTATCCCCAACGAGGCTGGCGTCAGCCAACAGTCCAGCCGCTGTGGGCTCCCTAATGTCCTTGAGGTGTCACGTACCCTGATGTTGCAGTGGCGTGTGCCATGTGACTGCTCATGTCCCTCTCTCTGCCCAGATTGTCCTTTACCCTGCCCCTTCATTGTCTGATGAGGTCCCCCTCTACGCTTCCTCTAGGGCTCTCTTCATGTGTCCCTTTTCCACTCACCCTTGCCCCGGGAGTTGCTGTCCTTCTTTATCTATTGATGTTATTTCAGAAGCTGTTTACAAACCAAACTGTAGCCCTGGGTTGTGTGCCTCTCACCACCAAGAACAAATGAACCTAAGCAATTTTCAAAAAAGGTTGCTCCAGTATTCCTTTGGGTTAAAATGGGGTGGTCTTGTATAAGAGTCTCCTGATTCTCCAAGTAGGATTTACTTTACAGTAAACATCTATCGAATGCCTACTCTTTGCTAGTCACTAAGAATAATGCACATGAAGTTAACCGCAGTCTCTGCTGCATATGGCGTTTACAGGAAGGTCCTGCTTTCCTACCATGGCTGTGTTTGCCCATCCAGTGGAAGTGTGGTTAGTTATATGGTGTTCAAAGGAAATGGTTGACTTCCTGTTTTCTTCTTTCCCAGTGTTAGAGATTGATTTTGCGGAGCTAACCCTGGAGGAGATCATCGGCATCGGGGGCTTTGGGAAAGTTTATCGCGCTTTCTGGGTAGGCGATGAGGTGGCTGTGAAAGCAGCTCGCCATGACCCTGATGAGGACATCAGCCAGACCATAGAGAATGTTCGCCAAGAGGCCAAGCTCTTTGCCATGCTGAAGCACCCGAACATCATTGCCCTCAGAGGGGTGTGCCTGAAGGAACCCAACCTCTGCTTGGTCATGGAGTTTGCCCGTGGAGGGCCTTTGAACAGAGTGTTGTCTGGGAAGAGGATTCCCCCAGACATCCTGGTGAACTGGGCTGTGCAGATTGCCAGAGGGATGAACTACCTACATGATGAGGCAATTGTCCCCATCATCCACCGTGACCTTAAGTCCAGCAACAGTGAGTATGGAGAGCTGGGCTGGGCTGGGCATGAAGAGCAGCCACACCCTCACTCTGTGGCTTCAGTAGATGTGGGTTCCTGGTGGAGCCGTATGTCAAAACCTTCTGCCATTGAGTGGCAGTGTGTGGAAAGAAGAGTGAGGCACCTGAGGGGTCTGGGGTGGTTGTGGACTTATAATTAGCAGGCAGAGTTGTCAGTAATGGAGACCGAGATATGCAGAAATAGATTAATTTTCCTACTTGTGGGAAATGTGTATGTAATCCCCCAAAAGAGGATATCCCCTTTCTGGAGCAGCAGAGAAGGCAAACCTCTATAGCCTGTCTGCATCTCAATCTCCACGTCTCAGCTCACTGGAGAGTCAGCCATCGGAAGAAGAGGTGTGTGTTTAACTGGGTCCCAGTACAGGTGGCAGTGTCAGTTGGAGAGCGTGACCTGACCGGTGGTGTTGTAGACCTCCTGTTAGCCCAGGGGTGCTATTAATGAATTCCATAACTAGCGTGTAATTGCAGGGAACTGAGAAGTAACTGTGTATTAAATACCCGGAATCTATAAACTGGGCTGTAAACTCAGTGTTAGGTATAATTAAATGAGAAGTTGGTAGAGACTTCAGTCTTGCACGTGGGCTGGCGGAACAGCTAGAAATGTGCTTCCTGGTGTTCTCACTGGTCCAGACTGACTGCAGAGAATGTATGTATTTAAGATCGTTTAGAGTAGCCTGTCCCTGAGAGGATGGTATTTCGGGTGAAGAACTTTGGGGGTGACATGGACTCTTGGGACTACTCTCTACATCTTTGTGCTTTGAGCCCAGAAGTTCTTCAGACTTGGTTTTTTGTTTGTTTGTTTGTTTGTTTGGTGTGTGTGTGTGTGTAGCTGTCTTGGAAATTGCTCTGTAGACCAGGCTGGCCTTGAACTCAGAGATCCACTTGCCTCTGCCTCCAAAATACTAGGATCAAAGGCGTGCGCCACCACTTCGCAAAACACCGCCCAGCCAGACTTT